AAAGAAAATGTAAGCTGTAAAGTAAGCAGATGCTTACTGTAAGCTTGAAAAACTATTTTTTCAGCTGGTATTTGCCCCTTAGGTCCAATATCAGTATTAGAACACTGGAATAAAATAGAAGCCTTTAATACAGTTCATTATTCTAGAAAGCTGTGACTAACTAATCCTTCCTCCCACTGGCCCCTAAGTGCATCTCTCAACTACTGAACTCTCTGTTCCTAAAGCCTCCTAATACACTTTTTATTTCTGATGTCACTTTCCCACCCTTCTATGCATAAAAGGTGGCATGTATTATTGCACCAACATAGACTTCATTTCTGCTGTTGTCTTTTGGTATTGGCAAGTACTTAAAGATCACTTACTTAGTATAATAAACAAAATGTATTCAGTATCCTTCCCTTAATTTCAGTTTGTTGTCATAGAGGGGCTGTAGAGTGCTGTTGCTAATACAGTCAGGCTTCTTTTTTTGCAAGTTATAGACAGTATTCTGAAATAAATGCATTTGCTTTCTTATATGAAAGGGAAGTTCATAGAGCTTAAAGCATATTAAAAGAGCAAGGTCTTTCAAATAAAGGGAGAGGAATTATGTCTATATGTCAACTTGTGTTTGTGACAGTGTTGCAAAATTCATGCTTTTTTGTCCCTGTCATTAATGCCTTACCATTTGCCCAGTTAATTTCTTTTAAAGCCACTATAGCATCAACAGGATTGTATGGCAAGTCATATGCCGAGAATATCTTGCCAAATTTAAAAGTCATTAAAGTAACCAGTTTCTTGCAGGTACACCTAAATAACTGGCAAGCCAACTACTTGTTTTGGCAAAGATGGTGGCAAAAAGCTCATCATAATTCCTTCTACAGGTTTTTTGCAACTAAGCTGGACCTTAAGTAGTATTCCACTGTGCTGAGATGCCTCTCATACATTTTACAAACTCTGTAAAATCAGACATCCAAACACATGGCGATGAAAAATATGTTTGTTGTAGCCTTTGCCAGTAGCCAACTGTATGTTTATCAGCAAATACCTATTATAGGCTGAAAAGAATCAAATTACTTTTAACATGATGGCAGCATCTGATGCAGGACGTTGTTTTCTACAGCTAAATAAATTGAATATGAATGGACTTGACAGCATGTATTATGAAATGCATAATGGTCTGGAGACTGGGTGTTGTCCTAACAACCAGACAATATTTCCTTAATTAAATATAATTTTTTTCCCTATGTGATCAGAAGAACATTCTGCAAACTCTGGTGAATTAATGGTCTGGCAAATACATGTAATTCTTTTCTCTAGGTAACTGTCAGCTTCAAAAATGTTAAGCCATTTTAGGAAAGCTGCAAATACTTGATTTGTTTTCCCAACTTTTTTCCAAACATACTAAATCGTATATATTTAGGGACTAGAATACATACATATATATATATATTTGATTTAAAAATAATATGCTTACTGTCTCTGAGCAATTTTTCCCTTGATATATTTTCTCTCCATTCCCTATTTTTTATAATAGTTTATTTGCAATATCTGTCTTGCTTACTTATTTGCTGAAAGATGTTTGCTATCAGATTTTTCCACTGTGTGTCTGGCACCTGTGTTTGATACATTAAATCATAAGGATTCCTTCACCGCTTCCCCTTCTTGATTTCCAGGCTCCTGAATTTATGCACAGGAATAGCTATCAGTCTGTCACATATGTAATCACAGCAAGTTTCTCCAACCATACCTTTGCAATAAGCATCTTTGCAAAAAAAAAAAAAAAAAAGGCTTGATACTTAAAGGCTTTGGGACATCCTAAATTAATTGCTGCTACTATTGCTGGCAGTGTGAGGCTGCATGAAGCTGTGGTGCAGGTGTGACTTCCTGCTTACCCCATCACACATAGAATAGTTTGGCTTGGAAGGGCCCTTTAAAGGTCATCTTGTCCAACCCCCATACAGTTATCAGGGACATCTTCAACTTGATCATGTTGCTCAGTGCCTTGCCCAATCTGACCTTGAATCTTTCCAGGGATGAGGCATCTCCCACCTCTTGGGGCAGCCTGTTCCGATGTTTCATTACCTTCATTGTAAAAATATTTTTAGATCTCATCTAAATTGACCTCTCTTCAGGTTAAACCCGTTACCCCTTGTCTTACGGCAACAGATCCTGCTAAAAACTTTGTCGTCATCTTTCTTTTAGTTGCCCTTTAAATACTGGAAGGCTGCAATGATGTCTCCCAGAGCCTTCTCTTCAGGCTGAATAACTTGAACTCTCTTTTCATGGAATCACAAAATGGATAAGGTTTGAAGGGACCACAGTGGGTCACCTGGTCAAAGCTCCGTGCTCAAGCAGAGTCTTCCTAGAGCACATTGCACAGTGTTGCATCCAGAGGGCTCTTGAATATCTCCAGTGAGGGAGACTCCACAAGCTCTCTGGGCAATCTGTTCCAGTGCACAGTCACCCATACAGTAAAAAAGTTCTTCTTCATGTTCAGGACCTGCCTGTGCATCAGTGTCTGCCTGTTGCCTCTTGTCCTATTGCTTAGCACTACTGAGAAGAGCCTGACTCCATCCTCTTGACACCCTCCCTTTAGATGCCTTCTGCTGTGTTGCCTTCTGATCGTCTTCATGGCCTTCCTCTGACCCTCTCAAACAGGTCCACATTCTCTGTATATTGCAGCCCCCAGAACTAGGTGTGTTTCTCCAGATGGGTTCTCACAAGAGTGTAGGAGAGAGGAAGAATCACCTTCCTCAACAGCACAAGTGGGAGCACAACTTGTCTGTTATGGAAAGCCCTGAGGCAATTCTCCAGCTTTAAGCTGAAGGAGAAGACTTCTCGTAGAGGGAACTGAGAAGTGTTTAGCAGTTGTCAGATTCAGTTTGAGTGCATATGGTTTGGTACAGTAAAAATGCTGATCATTCTGTTCATAAAGCTTACAATTTCTTACCACAACCAAGGAGTGCAGGTGAAGTCCAAACCCTAAGACCTCGTGCAGCTGCATGGTATCTCGGTCTGCTCATTTTGAACAGACAACAAGAACATCATTTTCCCTGGGCATGCTGCTTCTTCAGTCTCGCACTGAATCTGCTATGCAGGGCCGGCTGAACGGGCTGAGTGTGTGTATACCCCACAGATTTGCTTTTAGACTCTTTCCTCAAAAGGGAAGAGTTCTTTTCCAGGAGAAAGAGGAGCAGCAGGAAACCCAAGAATGACATGTAAGAAGAAAGAAGGGCTTTTTGAATAAAATATTAACTCTATTATGGTGGAAGAAATAGTGTGGCGAAAGTTTGTGACTATCTTGGTTTGTAAGGACCTGTGCCAATAAGGAGAAGGTTAGCACTGTGGTAGCTCATTAAATGAGTTAATCAATCAGTTAATCTATGTAATATGTCTATTAATATAGCCAAGAAAGCTGCAAAAGTGTTTGCAAGTGTTGCAGGTTTGATGCGTGCACACTGATCAGCTTGTTTTATAAGCATCTATTTGGAATCATGACAGATACTCTGTGGAGGCTAGTTTCTCTAATTTGCCAGATTGCTCTAGGGCCTCTTGTTAATGCAAGAAACATAATCCACTATTTGATATAAAGCAAGCGCGTATGTATTTCATATGCTGAGGGTATTGCAAAAAGAACTGACCAAGCAGAGCCTACCTCCTCTTCACCATTGCAGGCAAGTAATGAGTTCACAGAGACTGCAGACTCTATGCTTCATGGATAGAATGTATATAGAAAAAATATTGCTGGAAGGTGAGAAAAAAATTGAAGTGGTACTTTCTTAGCATTTTTTATTTTTATTTATTTTTTAATTTCAAACTGAAAATTTGAAATCTTTAGCTTCTAATCACATCCTTGGCAATGCAGTAACACAGCTCTATGTAAACATGAGGCAGACACTTACGTACAGGTGTGCTGTGGATTTTGGAACTAGTTTGTTTTAATTTCCTGTTTATAGGTGAATTTTGTCAGTAATCTCAAAGGAAAAAAACGTAAATTTTTAAAAACAAATGTATTAATCCCCATTTTCTGTGCTTTATGTCAGGTGTAAGGTGATTATTTGAGCAAATTTGTAATGTGTGCACACAAACATGCATATGCAGGAAGCTATTATTTCATATGAAGAAATAGCTGGAAATAGCTCCTTATTTCACTATCTGCAAGAAAAAGAACAGACCACTCTTTCTGACTGACTTTCTCTGAACAACACAGGAAATAACATTTCACACCATAGAATTGAAGAGAATCAGCACTTCACTAAGGCATTACTTTGCCAACATAGGACCTTGGGGAGTGGGAGAGCAAAAACTAAGGAATATGGCAAAGAAGCTCTCTCTTCAAAGCTTCTCTGTCATGTCCTTTGTTTTATTTTTTGCTCCGTCTTGTTCTTGCTTTAGTTCATATGCTCTTTGTTATTAGTGTCTTTGTTTTTCATGCAGAGAAAAAAATGCTTTTAAACAGTGTGCATGTGCTTTAAATGTGTCAGTACCAAACTCACTGTCAATAGCTAGCCTTACTTAGTCAGCTATAATATGTCATGAGTAAGGGTTCTTAATTGGGACTAGAAAAATCCAACATAATTACCATAATAAGTTGAAGATCTCTGAGACTGAAGGTTTTCGAAGTCAGAGAAAATTGGGGACATATGTGTTCTGTCTGTAAGATTGTTCTATATAGGATATGGAAAAATGGAAATGACAGGCGTTTCACGATGTACAGTAGCATTCATCATAGAAAGTACATATGCATTTGTTTGTCAGAAGCAATGAAGTAAAAAATGACACTTAATTGGAACTGACATAAAATGGCCTCATTAGCAGTACAAATAATATATGTGTGTAGCTTCGTTATCAATAGGAACAAAACATATTTCCTCTGACAGATATATTAGTCTCTTTTAAGATTCATGTCAAGTTTTCAGTCAGGTTCACTCATTTAGAGAATGCTGCTGTTTTTTTTCTTTTTGGTTTTGGGGTTTTTTTTTAAAGTGAGACGTTGAAGTGTAAAGAATGTGTATTTTTAGGGTGCTGTGATAACACCAACAATGGACCACACTATGTCAATGCAGCCAGCAAGCATGATGGGCCCTCTGACCCAACAGATGAACCACCTTTCCTTGGGCACAACAGGAACGGTAAGATCATAGATTACACTGTTTGCTTTCTATATTGTGAAACATGCATTGCTTACTGAGTTTTTTAAGGTAACTTACTGCTCTTGGGTTTCCGGTGCTTCACCATCATACAGTCAGCATTAGGTATTGTACGACACCAATGGCAAAGTAGTACAAGTAGTAAAACAGTAGGCCAACAAAACTCCCTCTGTACTTAGCAGGAATTATCTGTACTAATTCTCATGTAATTATGGAAGTACTGCTCTATCAATTTCTTCTTTAAAAATAAATAGTTTGCTTGTCAATCTTGAGTTTTGTATCACTGGGAAACAGGAGATCTGGCTTTGTAGTAGGATGCACTACTCACTTCTAAACCATAACAGTCAGCCATACGTATTTTGTTCCAGGCTTAGAAATATGACTTTTGGTGAAGGTCAGCTGTGTTTCCAGCACATCATATTTAAACATGCATATTTCAGCAATTATTTTCTCTTCAAGCTATGTCAGACTCAATTAACTCTCCCAGAGTCAGAGAAAGGCAAAAATTACTCGTAATTAAAATTATTGAAACTCACTGAAAGGTGTCTAAAATACAACAGCTACAGACAATATATGATGATTTGATATGTGAATATGTGCACACTGCATGTACATGTAAATTTTTGCGAAAATACAGACATATATTACATATTGCACTTCTATGTCTCTAGCACACATGCTCTTTACATAATAATTGCATGAAAGATTGGTTATTGACCTCAATTTTTTTTCCTATTTCACCACTGTACTACTTGGTACTAATCTATAGGAACAGTTTTCCAAATTTTTTTAAATTGAATGAGGTACTGAATAAAGTTGCACCTTTACAAAGTTATATAATGCACTGCATTGTGTCTTCTCTTCCTCTTCCTGTTCCTCTTCTCTTCATCTCCTTTTTACTTATCTGTTGAATTTAATTCTAACTCCAGTGTCCTTTCCCACTTCTTTAAAAAATCTGTTAAGATACAAGACTTCTGTATTTATTTCTGACTAAATTTATATATGATGGCTTATTGTTTATTACTCTTATTTTAAATGTTGCATTCAACAACCAGAAGAAGTGAGAATTGCATCTTAAAGTTAATATCAGCATGGAATTGAAGGAAAAGCTAGGTCAAGTGAGAATTGCTGCATGTGTAATTACTGTGATTCAAAAGTGCATTTAAAAATTAAGACAAGGAAATGGAATATGAATTCTGGTTTTGCTGTTGGGCAGCACCTATGAATTTTTTCTTGTCATTTTCAATTCCATAACTCTTAACAGACATTGTCTTCTGTGCTCATTGTCTCATAATCTTAATGCAAACTAGAAAATTCCCAGCTAATGTTCTCTTCTGACTTGAGACCACTATTACAGTTCTTACAGTAACAAATCCAATTGGGGGGTCAGGGGAAGGACTCTGAAAAGCAATGGCTGATCTAGTGGGTGATAATAAGATCCTGAATTTAAGTTACTGCATCTGAAAGAAAAATCTTTCCTTTCCTTTCCTAGCTCTATATGCAGTCTTATCTTTCAAGGTCACAGCATTCCCCATGATAACTTCTTGAAGTACATTCAGAGGTATCCATACAGGCTTATGCTTACTATCTTTAAAACTCCTAACTCATTTACAGGAAGCTTAAATAGCAAGAAAGAGTAAATGATTGATGGGTGATGGTTTTTCATACATCTCAAATAACACCCTATTTTATCACATGCAGGATTTCTGTTTGATAAAAATACCATCAGCACCATATTCAGGTAAAGTACTCATGCAAGCAGGACAGTCATGGAGCTCGTTGAGAATTCCTAGTGTTGGGAATTCCTCCTATCTGAAATTAAAGGGAAAACTTAAGGATTTGGGCTGCCAGTAGCAGTTTTGTTGAATTTATCCATCCTGACCTGAAATTCATTCTTAATGTATTCTTTTGCAGAAAAAAAAAAAAAAAAAGTAGAGAACACAACCTATTTAGATACATGATTTATTTAGTGATAATTTTATTTCATTTATGCGGAACTCTGAGTTTTGGGCCAGAGAGAGGAGTATTGAGAGCATAAAGCATGAAGAACTGTGCCAAGTCCAAACCATGCTACTGTGAGTACCTCAGCAGGAGTGAGTTTTATGGGAGATATAAGATATAAATGATAGATTTCTGTCATTAATGTATTTTTTAATTTTATCCTTAAAACTGTGCAACAGGGTGCCATAAAGAGCCACCAGCTATCTTTCAAGAAACCAGCCAGATTTTTTTAGTCAAGCAAGACAAAAAATCACAAACAATTCTGCTCAGTATTGGCTGTAAGTCTGTCCCAATTTAATTTAAAAGCTTGCGGTATGCAAAACAGTTTTTATTAAAAGACTTTCATAAGTTCTCTTGCTTAGAAAAGCATCTTGTTAATTAAGATATTTTTCAGCTGAAACAGACCCCCGTGGTCACTTAAGTGAGAGTTGACTTCAAAACCACGTCCACACTTGCCTGATTCAGGGTGAACATTGAGCTTATAAAACATTGCTTCAACAGAAAATGTATTCTCTAGTGAGTGAGCTAGAGAAATAGCATAAGGGCCTGTGCAGCTTTGTATCTTGTGGGAATTACTCTGCCTTTTGATGCTCTCTAAAAGATTAAAATACTTTGTCCAGACTGGAGCTATTCCAGATGGGAGACCCTTGACAGAGAAGCACTCTTTAGTGCTCTTTTGGTGAGGCCAGTGACCTGAATAACAGCAGTCTCTGCCAATTCCTGCCGTGACACCAAAAACTGGATTTGAGTTTTGGTCTTACAGCCCTGAAGCAGACATTAAAACCTATGAGAATTCAGGGTGTAGCTGCCTCCATCCTCTTGATTATTTAGTCACCAGCCCAGGATGAGCATTTTTGGCTTAATGCTGGCAGGGCTTTCCACTTCCAGCTGAGTGCATCCAGTTCAGGAGTCAAACCAGAGTAGTTTTCCTATAGACCCACTCATAGCCAGCTGCATTTCCCTTGTGCTAAGGAAAGTCTTCCCCCAAAAGCACAAATAATTTTGTTTAGGAAACCATTTCCCACAGATAGGGGCAAGAAGTTTCCTTGCTCTCTAAAGCCCCCAAAGAATGCATATTTAATTTCATTTAATTATATTTTTGACATTCTTATTTCTTATGGATTATTGAAGTGCCTGTATAAAAGCAGATGTCTCTGCTATACTAAGAATTCCCTAATCAGGAGGATGCATAAGGCTATCGAGATGCCAGGCCAAGTAAAAAGCTGCAAATACCATTTCAGTGGTGAAGAATGGTATAGAGCACCAGTGGAAGAGAGGAGGTAAGGGTCTGCCATTTGTGGCACCTTGACCCTAAGCTCATGTGCTATGAGAGGATTTTGTACAGCATTTGCATCTCCCAGTTACTGTGCTTTGTGCTTCACCCACCAGTAGCCTTATTCCTTTTTGCCTTTATGAAAATCAAATTGATTTCTGCCACTGAAAATACAATTTATGTTACTGATGAATTGAGAGGCAAGTATGTTGCTCTGATCACTTCCCCAGTCTGCCTGAAATCTAGAGTTAAGCAGAAAATCTTCCAGAGGGGCAATTTCTGCCATATTTATATGTATTTTTCATACATACCTCTTCACTCAAAAGGAGCAAAAAGCATTTACATGGATGTGCTAGCTGTGGGCAAATATATAAAGAAAATCTAAGTTTAAATTATGTCAAGATTACAGCAAAAAGGCAATAGCTCTGAATATTCTGATTAAGTCTGACAACCCAGTCTCAGCTCCTACAATTGTATTAAAATGAAATTTTAATGCCAGAAGGCATAATGTGAAGGCAGACAACTGGTTTTCAAGTGTGAATTTTTTTAACTAGTTTATTATTATTTATTATAGTAAGTCTTGTTTTTCCTATGTAGTATTTATCTACAATTAGGTCTGCCATTAAAAAAGGTACTGTAGATGGAGAATAGAGCAAATGAGTCTGTAAGGGTAGCACTGAAAAAGCAGCATTAGTATGTGCTTAATAATGTATGGAGGCTGGAATTGTTCCATCATCAGCCTGTCATTCAAAATGTTTCCGATACAGCCATTGATCTGACATCTGTTTCGTGGTTTAATAAAGTTGTGATTGATGCCTGAGTGGATATAATACAAAAACCTTTTAAAATATAAGAACTGAGCAGTTTGATCACTGCTTTCAGTCCCTGTTGCTCGGCACTTCCACATTTGGCTGTCAGTAGAATAATCTGCCTCTTCAGTGGGAAGAAGATTTGCTCCATTCTTTTTCTGCTGCTTCTCATTCCTGAAGAAAGTTTGCTGTTCTGCACTTTCTTGGTCTGGGCTTCCCTCCCCTCCCTGCCCTTACCATCCGTTCCAGATACCACTTGGGTTCCAGTTTCATTCAACTGTTCAAGGCAGCCTTTGTTAGTCCTCATTGGCAGGAGGGTAATTCCAGCTTTTTCTCCCTCTCTTTTGGAACTGCCTAACCGTAGCCTTGTTTAATCTTAAACCCCTGAGGCCCACACCAATGGGAGAGTGAGTAGAAACCAGGTTTTTTACAAAAACTGCTAGCTCAACTGTACTGCTTAATTGTTCTTCATGCTTGCAGACTGTTCACTCAGCTTTCAGTTTCTAATTTAGAAATTTAGTAGGCAACTTACAAAATAAGCTCTCTATTGCACTTTTTAAACAACAACAAAAAAGCCCAACCCAAAATAATTGTTAGTTCCGCATATTCTGTATTAAAATGCAGTCAGGAGGAAGAATTGCATTGACGTAATGTGGGATCCTGTTGTAACTGCAAACTACCCTAACTCAGCTTTCCTTGTGTGTAGTATCACCAGAAATCTCTCAGTGGAATAGCAGGCTTGTTATGCAGGTATATCAGTCTTATCTTTCACTCTGTTAGTTCTTTTTGTTGCCAGCGAAGCTTGATGATATCTCCAGAACCCTTCAATGGAACAACAAGCTTGTTATAAGTTTTTTATCTTTTATTTCCTTTGGATACTCCGTGGTCACTCGTGGTTT